TCTCTTCTCTCTTCCTTCTCCCTCCCTTCCCCTCCCTCTCTCTCTCCCTATTTCTTTTCCTCTCTCCCTCCTTCTCTCTATCTCTCTTTCTCCCTCCCTCCTTCCTCCTCCCTCTCTCTCTCTCTCTCTCTCTCTCTCTCTGTAAGTTGGGGTCTCACTCTTTTACCCAGGCTGGAGTGCAGTGGCAGGATCACAGCTCACCGCAGCCAGGATCTCCTGGGCTCAGGTGACCCTTCTGCCTCAGCCTCCGAGTACCTGGGACTACAGGTGTGTGCCACCATGCCCAGCTAACTTTTTAATTTTTTGTAGCGACAGGGGCCTCGCTATGTTGCCCAGGCTGGTCTTGAACTCCTGGGCTCACGTGATCCTCCACCCACCTCTGATGGTTTTAAAGGCTGCAGTGGCGATGGCTGTGGGACAGGAGAAAGGGTCCTGCCGTTCAGAACCTTCATGTCTTTTAGGGAAACTCCCCCCCACCCCACACACAAGATGCAGAGCCCATGTTGCCGGCGCCCTTTCTCCCTCCAGGCCACCTCGCTCAGCTTTCTGTTCACACCAGTATGGACTCATCCTACTGTCTCCTGGTTTGTGGCTTTTCTGCTCAGCGGTGTTCCTCGCAGGACTGTGAGTCCCTCCGCTTTTCCCACCCACCCCCTTGTCCCACACTTCCCTTCTGTCAGCAGGTGCCAAATGAGCATCCTCTGAGGTTGGGCAGAGCTGGAGTGAGGAGCCAGGGACTGGGTCTCAGGCTTGCCTTGAGCCTGGAGTGAGCTTCACCTGAAAGCCAGAGCCGCCTGGTCCCCTGTAATCGATGGGGGTGGGAGGGTAGTTGCTCATGGTCACCTCCCCTGCTCCTTAGAAACTCGACATGGATGCAGGGAGTGACTGGCAGGGCCTCCAAGGCACTGTCTGCCTCTTTTTTCTGACCATTTCATCTGATGTTATTTTTCCTTCTTTTTTATCTGCTATGGGCTGAATCTATTTAAAGGACATAAAGATTCTTCTCAGGCTGAGAGAGACAGAGGGAGCTCACACCCCAGAATATACATGGATTTTCTGCACCCTCTGGGCTGACCTTATTTCAAAAGCAAAACCAAGGACTAGGCAGCTCTGCCCATCTTAGGGCTTGCATGGTGCTACTCAGCGTTCTTACGATGAACCAAGTTTTACCAGGGCAAAACACATCTTCACCAGTTCTCTTGACCTATTTTAGTAAAGCCGAGCAGAGGTTTAGACAGTGTTCTTTGTACTTTGGGAAGAGTTTTAGGAAATGGTAGTCGGCCGCTGGTGAATCGTAGGGCCAAAGGGTAGCTTTCCTTGGTATTATTTTCCTTAATACATTTTACTTCATGGGTAGCGTCTGCATGCTTTAAATGGAAAGTTTTTCTCTATTTAAACTATCACTTGAAAAATTTTTATGGGGGCGGGCTTGGTGGCTCAGCCTATCATCCTAGTACTTTGGGAGGCCAAGGCGAGTGGATTGCCTGAGCCCACGGATTCAAGACCAGCCTGGGCAACTTGGTGAGACCTCGTCTCTACAATAAATTTTTTTAAAAAATAGCTAGACTTGGTCACGCATGCCTGCAGTTC